TTCTTTCTTTCTTTCTTTCTTTCTTTCTTTTTCTGTTTTTGGCTTTTCGAGACAGGGTTTCTTTGTGTAGTTCTGGCTGTCCAGGAACTCACTCTGTAGACCAGGCTGGCCTCAAACTCAGAGATCCACCTGCCTCTGCCTCCTGAGTGCTGGGATTAAAGGCGTGTGCCATCATGCCCAGCTGATATTTTCATAAATAGATAATTTTTATTTTTCTATTCCATTAGAAAATTTCCTGTGCAGTACTCTTTAGTGATTCTATTTTATTGAATTGTTATTTTTTTAAAAAAAATATATAATTATATAATCCCCCTTCCCCTTCTTCCTTCCAACCCCTCCCATATACTCCCCCACCCTGTAGAATTCATGGCTTGTTTTCTTTAACACTGTATTGAGCCTTGTGGACATGTGGTAGTTTCCTTAGTAATTCCTTATTGCTGGGCATTTAAATACTTTTCAGTACTTTGTTATTGTAAAAAAAAGCTAAAATATACATTTACTGCATATCAATCTTTAACTATACCCCTGGCTACTTTTCCAGGATAAATTCATAGAATGAAACTTATCAAGTTAATGGAACCAGGTAGACCCAAGTTCAGATTCAAGCTCCTCTTAGTAGCCATGTGGTACTGAGGGGATGACTTCTTGTGGGAAGGGAGAGCAGTAATAGCATGTCCAGAGGTCTTAGTGATGTCAACAGAGTTGCACATGTCAAATATTTAATGATAACACTTTTCTCGCAGCACACACTGAATAAATATTATTATTATTATTGTTAGTTATAAATACACTCATGATTAACCCTCTTGCTGAAATAGCTGTTGTCTGACTAAAGACGTGTGTCACCCACGAACAGGACACCAGAGTGACTCATTGACCTAGGTCTGAAGTATCTAATTTTAAGTCTATTATTGGCTATAGAGTGGATGGCTTTCTAAATTTTATCATATTTCTATTGTGCTGTGCTATTTTTCTTTTAATAGTTGATTAGCATTATAAGCTTAGATCCCACTGGCACTTTATATGATCATATTTTTCAAAGAAAATTAAATTGAGAGAATTGCTAAAATTTGTCTAGCATTGGTGTAGCATGTCACACGGGCTCACGGTTTCCTAGTATTTTGATTTCTTTGGAACCTAATATATTCTCTAATTTGCAGCCGTGGAGTTATTGTGAGGCACTGAATAGTTCATCAAGACCTGATTTTTCTCCCGGGAGTGGTTTGACTCTTGGGTTCCATTTGGCGGAACTTCCATGGATAGTTAATAAAATGACGCCCAGGCCACACTGCCGGTGTGATGAGAAATGCCATAGCAATGACCCGTGTCTCCTTAGTGCCACTGGGGCCGTAGTTCTCCAGGTCACTCAAGACGGTTGGCGGGCATTCTCCCACAATGCCAAGGGGCTAAAGCAGAAATCGCTCACTTATTGAACCTCCTTAATTCTTAAATTTGAAGATTAAGTCGTTATATATTCTAGGCTAATATAAAACTTTTTATTAAAAAAATGCAAATTTGGTCTTCATAACAGTGGTTAGTTTTTTTTATTTTTTATTTTTTTTGAGCTGAGGATCGAACCCAGGGCCTTGCACTTGCTAGGCAAGCGCTCTACCACTGAGCTAAATCCCCAACCCAACAGTGGTTAGTTTTTAATTTCAGGACAACCCTGTTCATTAAAATGCATTATCGTAAGTATTATGTAGTAAAAGATGAGCTATTTCCCCAAATGCTTCTGGTTGTCATGGCCTTGGGGGTTTAGGTTGTGCTTTTATTCCACATTATTCTATAAACATTAATAAAGTCAGGCAAATCTTTAACAGGTCTTCCACTAATGTAGAACACTAGTAATTTAGTCTGTTTGGATTTTTTTTTAAAAAAGTAATCCTTAGAATTATAATATTTTGTGAACATTCCCTCATTTTTGGCCTCATTTTTGTTTACTTTTTTTTTTTTAAAAGCAGGTCATGGTTAAGGAATATGTTCTCAACCTTCCTAATGCTGCGACTCTTTAATACAGTTCCTCATGGTGTGGTGACCCCCAACCATAAAATCATTTTATTGCTATTTCGTAACTGTCATTTTGCTACTGTTATGAATCATGATGTACATATCTGATCAGCAACCCCCTGCAGGGGTGACGACCCACAGGTTGAGAACCACCGCCTTAAAGTTTCTTCGGCAGCAGATGGTAAATCTGACTCTTGGATCAGCTCGTGTCCTTTTGCACCTCTGTCCACATTCCAGAAGCTCTAGTGTTGGGCATTGCTTTGTGCCCGCTCTGAGAGCAGCTTCGCTGTGGACCCCCCGGTTCTTCTGTCTCCTCTCGGCCCCGGCTCCCCTTCCCCTCTTCTGGACACACTTACATTCTCTGTCAGCTTTCTCTTGTCTGGGCCTGAGCTGGTGTGCCAGCAGGTCTTCCTGGTGAGATGTAGCGGAGTCTGAGGACAGAACATGGAGGCGTTGTCACAGTCCCAACAGGGACGGTAGTGAGGGACGCGTTGCTCTTACATTTTCCCATTTCACAGGTGAATTCGTTAGAACCCACTGGTGCCTGAAGGATTCCTTTTGCCCATGAGTTTAAATTTGAAAGAGAGAATTATGGGTGATTTAGTTAGCGTCAACTGTCCACTTGACAGAGCCTAGAATTGCCCGAGAAGAGTCTCGGTTGAGCAATTGTCTTTATCAGGCTCGTCTGTGGATGTATTAGTGGGGGTTTGTTCCGATTATCTTGATTGACGTGGGAGGGATCAGCCCACTGTGATTGGTGCTGTTTCCCGGGTAGGTGATCCTGAGCTGTAGAAAAGAAAGTGAGTGAAGAGGGTGTCAGCCAGCAGCTGACATTGGTTCCTCCACAGGTTTTGCTCTGGGTTCTGTCTAAAGTCCAGCTCTGACTTCCCTCAAGAGGGACTGCGTGACCTGGAGATGTAAGCTCAAATAAACCCTTCCCCCCCATCAGCCGCTTTCCTCAGAGCGTTTTTATCACAGCAGCAAGACAGGAAGCTAGAGCAATGGCTAAAAAAACGAAGCGTTTCCCCGAAGAAGTTTCAGCTCCCCTCCCTCTCACCCTCTATCACCCCTGTCCTTGCTCATCTCTTTATCGTAGACATCTATTCATGTCTACTTTGCATCAGGTCCCATGCTCAATGCTGTCTCTCCTTCCTAGGAAATGTCTTTTTTACTCATCTGGATTGTCGTCGCCACAGCGGTGAGCCTGTGTAGATAATCTTCCTTCTGGGTTCCAGCTAAGGCCCTCATTGACACTAGGGAGCCAGCCTAGTGTCACTCGGGCGAGGCAGGCGTGGGCTGTGGAAAGCTGTGGGGTCAAGGCCAGGCTCCGTTTCGTACCTTTGAGTCTCTCTGTACATCCGTTTTGTCTTACTCTCTCTAAAGACTGACTTTGTTTACTTCTCTACTTTTTGAAAGGAAAACAGCCATTCCTGAATTTGATACATCCCTTAATTCCAGCCACCCAGGCCAGCAGGCCCCGGAATTAGAGTCCAAATTCCTGAGAAAGGGTCTGATTGGCTCATCTGATTTAGGGGAGTCTGACTTGACTTCTGTGTTTCAGTACAGATGTTTTGTGAGCCCACTCTTCTTTCCTGTGGTGTCACATCTGGGCAGTCTGATTGAGCGCCCCCCCCCCCTTTTGTATCAGCAGAAAATTTCAGTCTCTCAGCCGGCACGGACTTTTCCAGATTCTCTGACTCTAGAACCATATAGTCCATTTCTGTTTTACCCAAGCTGGTCCATACCTGATGGTGCCTCCCTTGCCCTCCCTAGGAGCTTCTTGCCTAAGTGATAACATTTTCACCAAATTCTTCTTCTATTGAGTGTGTTATTAGCCTTGACACCAGAACTAAACTTTGAATGAAGTCCATCTTGCTTTAGACGCGGCTATGAAATACCCTGGAAGTAAACAATGTCGTCATATGTAGTGAAATTGCTTGACATCCTCCTACTGGAGGAGAAGGACATCTCCAGAAAAGGGTGGTTTTTAGATTTAGTGAACAGAACATTTTTGAGTACCCAGTCTGCCCCAGGTACTCCAAACAAAGGATCCCAAGACCCGAGTGTATGGAAGTGTGAGTTAGCAAGCTAGTTTTGCAGGGTGCTGGAATCTACCATCAGAGTTTACGGTTCACTAGGACCTGGTAGGACCAGGAATTTTGCATTTCTTAGGTAGTTCTGAGTGGTTCTGGCAGTCCAGGGCTCCTATGGTGAGACCTCTTGTTTTCAACAAGTGAACAAAATGTGGTGGTGGGACCTAGGTAAAGTAAACAGGTAGACTAGATATCAGAAAGGGCATGAGTGCTAAGGCACAAATATCTAGAGTAAGGCAGCGGAATGGACAGTAATGATAGTGTTCAGCAAAGTGACAGGGAGAGCGTAATTTGAGGAGAGACCCGAAGGAAGTGGTTCTCTAGGGGAAAACATTCTGAAGAAGGAACAGCTGGAGCGGGAGTCCTAAGGTTTTCAGGTGTTCTCCCAGTCTGTGGTTTGAATGAAAACGGCCCCCATAGGCCCTCAGGGAGCAGCACGATGAGGAGGTGTGGTCTTGTTAGAGTGGGTGTGGTCTTGTTGAAGGAAGTGTGTCATGGGGGGGGTAGGCTTGGAAGTTTCAGATGCTCAAGCCAGGCCCACTGTCACTCTCTCTTCCTGATGCCTGCCAATCTGGATGTGGAACTCTCGGCTACCTCTCCAGCATCAAGTCTGCAAGGTGTGCGGCTATGTCTCCCACCATGATGAAAATGGATTAAACCTCTTGAACTGTAAATCAGCACCAATGACATGTTTTCCTTTGTAAGAGTTGTTATGGTCATGGTGTCTCTTCACAGCAATAGAAACCCTAACTAAGACACACTGTGTCTGATCAACAGCAGGTCAGCTTTTATGGCTGGAGCAGAGCGACCCCAGGGGAGCAGGGAGTAGGCAGACATGTAAGATGTGGGGCACTGGCAGGATTTTGCCTTGCCTAAGATGGGCAGCTACTGATGAGTCTTGATTCATGCTGTGTCCCAGTGTAACTTCTATTTTCAAAGGTTCGTCTGGCTAAGTTGGGAACTGACATGGAGAATATGGAAGACTCCTCTCCCCTGCTGAATTCCAGTGAGAGGGGAAAGGGTCTTACCTGTGGTGACAGGAGCCAATGTGGTGAGAAGTGGTCGGGTGCTGGGTATGTTCTGGAGAAGGGCTAATGGGAATCCCTAACAGGGACAATGGGGTGGGAAAAGTAAGTTTTGACTCTAAGGTCAAGCATCCTATTCGAAGGACAGACTTGACATTATCTGAATTGAGGATGAGGCTATGTGGTGTATTCTTGGAAGCAGGGGAGAATTGAAAGTTGGGGCATGTTGAGGTAAGATACATGCCTTTGGGGCTTGGGTGAGATATGGACATGAGAAAGAGTTGAGAATAGTATGTGATAATTCAAACCTTGTGGCTATCACTAAGAAAATGTAGACAGAAGAGGGAAGCTGAGGGGTCAGTGAACCTTGGGTATCCAACGCAGAAAGAGTGGGCAAAGAGGAGGCTGGGGAAGGCACCCGGAAGGGAAGGTGGTCATTGAGGCAGGAAACAAGCCTGGAGTGTGGACTTCTGGAAGCTAGCTGTATGTGGGTTATTTATCAGGGAGAGAGTATCTAACATAGTCCATTACGTCATTAGTCTTTTAGTATGCTCCTCCTCATTTTAACCCCTCCCCAAATATCTGTTCTGTCCAGTGCTGTTAGGTTAATTATTGGTGAACGCACGGACATCATGGCACTTCCTGTTCAAAAGCCTATGGTGCTTCATGAGTTCTTAAACCTTCTTTATTCATTTTTAATTGGCACATCGAGCCAATAACAGTCTATAAGGCCAACACCTTATCCATTAGGCACCCAGGGATTTTAATAACCTGATTTGAAAAGGAAGGGAAGCTCTGCCATGGGTCCACCAACCCTCCTCACACATCGTCTTAGTTTCCTTGGACCATCTTAGAATTACACACTGCTGCTGCAGCTGTCTGATTGGTCAGATGTGGCCCACAGCAGTGACTCACTGTACTTACTCTAGGAATGGTGTTCCTACCTCTTCCGACTGTCAGATTTGGTGCAGACTTTCAACTTCTCCATGCCCCGGCCTCCTCCCCTGCACAAAGGGTGCTGATGGGCTGTACAGAGCAGTCGGTGGCAGAGGCCCGAGTGCTGAACGGCGTGCTTTGCCTCTAGAAAGTTCCGTCTGGTTTCAAGGCCTGACAGAACCCATGGCCTACATTAACTTGTCCTCACGTTACGTGTTTCTCTTCCCGTTCTGCTTCATCACTCCAGTCTTCCTTCCATGCTCTCTGACCATTTTTCACGGTTTGTTCTCACATTCTGTCTAAACTGTACCAGCTGGAACTGTGCCCTTGCCTCAGGGTTCAACTCAAGCTTCCCACGCCCTCATTCTGAAACGTGCACTCTGTGTTACTAAGACCCCCACAACAGTTGTGGATTCTTCATAGCTTCGCTGTGCTGTTGTGCGGTTTATGTCTTCCTTCAGCTCGGTTCCACAGGCGGTGAGGGCATTCCTAAGCTGACACGCGTGTCTCCTCTGGCATTGAGCACAGGATAGGAACTTACAGGAAAGCTTACCACTTGGTGAGTGAGGAGGAATCGTTTGACAGACCAGAGAAGTTCTGGCCTTGTAAGTTTTTCCCATGAGTGGATCATGTTCTAGTAACATGTCCTTTCTGTGCTTAATTCAATGAATTTATTTATGCCTTATCATTTGAGGCAGCGTGGAAGTCATTTGGTGAAGGTTCGTGTTATGTATGCATTTAAATAGAAGAATTTTTAGAAATTCCCTTCAATATATTCTATCAAAAGAAGGTCAGTTGGTGATTTTTTTTTTCTACTGAGCTTCTAAGCTTCGCTGGTGAAATTATTTTTCTCAACACTGAATCTGTTAAACTTAAAAGATAGGGACTCTTGGAAAACTTCTGTTTTATTCTTTACCCTTTTCAGCTGCCAACTCTTTGTCGCACAGAAGCTCAGAAAGTGTCAGTCAGAACCAGGAAAGAATGAAATACATTTCCTATATCAGGTTGGGGAAATCTGATTGTTTCTCTTGGAGCAGATTGTTCATTATAACGGTATCTATAATAAATGGGGCATACTGCTGAGATGGATGGAAATGAAATTAATTTGGCTCAGATGTGATCTTTGTTTTGCTTATGAGGATTTGAAACATCCTTACAGAGTTTCAAATTTCCATGCAATTTAGAAATAAAAGAGATTTCAAACTGCATCTGCCTCCCCTGCCGGTGGCCATTCGTGGCCACCCGATTCCCTCACCATGGCCCCGTGGAGCAGAACAGTAAATGTGAGATTAGTGTGTGGCAGGATGTGTCCAAATTCTGTTTGAAATATGCGTGTTCCAAGTGAAAAGACCCCTTGAGACAATATGTTTTTTGTCACAGGTTGCCTATCAGGTTGGGAACTATGAGTTGGCCAAGAAGGTCTTCTCACCAGTTTGGGATTATATTGTTGCTTCTCCGATTCAGGATGATCAGTCCGTTATCACTCTAAGCAACATCATGACGGTGACACAGAGGAGGTAATTAGAAATGCTATTTTAAAGCCCCATGTTGTGTGTTTTCATTTGCATATCAAGACAGCTCATATAAAAGTATATCTAACCAGAGTTATAAAATGCATATATTCCAAGGTCTTCTGCCCTCCTTAGACACGACCTCACTAGAGTCAGGAAAAAAACGGTGAGGCAGATGGGTAAAGGTTTTGGAATAAAAATGTCAAGGGGTAGCAGCCAGAGCAGAAAACATAAATGCTCACTGGAGACTTTTGAAACTGAGGAAGGAGAGGATGGGGCCGAGGTGTGAGGACTTGCTGTGTGGACTGCGATTATGAAGGGTTTTCTTTGCTTCATATAGGCTCCTAGGGTTACACTCTCGGTAGTTGCCAACATGCCCATAGAAGCCATAGAGAACGGCTGATGATCTTCTCATCTTTTTGCTGTTTTTCCTTAAAGGAGCAGGACTTCAGGACAATCCCCAAATCGAGCATTTCAGGCTTAGTTCAGGCCGTGTCTACAAACTGAAAATAAAATCCTTCACCTGCTTATTAATGCCTAAAAGAGATAACCCTTCACCCCTCACAGATAAATAACTTAAAAACATAAACAATAGACAAAACAAGATGTTGGTAATGCTTATTTGCACTAAACGCTTAATTCCATTTCAGTTAAACACATAGAGACTTTCTGCCCTGTTCAAGGGTTGTGAGTGCCATGGGAGAAAGATCTGAGGGGCATTTTAAGAGGAGGAAGAGGTGAGTTAGGTTTTGTGTGAGCTGTAGTGTAGAAGAGGGGGTGAATGCTGACTGTGCTTTCCAGCTTTAAGTGACTGGGGAGTCTGCAGCATTCACTAAGGGAAATGGGGTGTGTGTGAGGGACGATACTAGCGAGGTGGGGGATTGATTACTTTGGCTTTTCCAGCAGGATGCTTTTGTAGGTCAGGAGATGGTAGTCGATGTTTTGTTTAGTGCTGACTCATGCCCTCGGATTAGCTGGTGACAAACCCTCACACTCAAGCTTCAGGTCCTTCCGCTCTGAATCTCCTGACCCTATAGAGACAGTCACAGCTAAAGATGGCAATTCGGAAATTGTCCTCGAGGGTCACCATCGAAATCTTGAAAAGGAGCCTTGTCTTCCAGAGGAGGATGTTTGAACCTCAGCAGAAAAGAGACAACCTGGGGTTGAGGGCTGGTGTGGCTTCCATGAAAGGGGCAGATGTAAGAGATGGAACCAAGCAAGGCTGCTGAGGAGGATCTGTCCAGGAGACGAGGAAACAGGGAGGTGCATTGCTAAGGGAATTGGGAGTCACTTGGCGGGACTGTCCTGCTCTGTGACACGCCAGTGCCAGGTCAGGCTCAATGAAATCCTATAGAAAGGTTGAGCAGGATAGACATCAGGAGACATTTAGAGTGGGCAATTTGGAGGCCACGAGCAGATTCAAGAGAGCAACTCGTGGGACACCAGGAAGAGCAGAAGTGCTACTGAGCAGCACTGATGTCATAGCTGACGCAGAACTTTGTGTCGAAGCAAGTCTGGTTCCTGATGACTAAGAGTCCGCTTGACTCGTGTTTGTATCCCAGGGTCTTAGAGGGTGTTATGCACATAGTAGGCATGAAGCAAACGCTATTTTGAAAAGGTGAATGAAAAAAGAAATAAGTGAATAAGTAATTGGTGTTGTGACAAGCTAGAAACATTGGACAGTGATGTCCCTGCGGGTCACACGATGATATAAGAGGAAGCGGAGCCTAAGGGTCTGTGAGCCCCGATGTGGAAGGGACTTACTGGACTCTGAGGGGGGGCAGGGAATGTAACGGAGCCAGAAAGTGATAGGTGGGACAAAGGCATGATTCACGGCACTGAGGGTCATTGGAGGCCAACAAAAAAGTACAGTGTGTATTGCAGGGTGAGGCAGGAGAAACAGGACCCTCCTGGTAAGAGGGTCCAGAGCTCAACGTGGTGGGATCATCTTCGGGTGTGAATTAACGATGTCGGGCTCTTTCCTGCTCTTATGGGGTCAGGAGATTCAGAGCGGAAGGACCTGAAGCTTGAGCGTGAGGGTTTGTCACCAGCTAATCTGAGGGCATGAGTATTGGAAACCAAAGAGCGTCGACATATGTCAAGCTCTGCTGGCCTTTGGCACTGTGGACTGTGATTTAGCGAAGACAATCAGAAATACCCAGAGCCATTAAGACTCATTCTCTGTAGCTGAATTTGCTTCAAATGCTCCCATTATCACAAAGTTCATCACTTTTTTTTTTTTTTCAGACAGGGTTTCTCTGTGTAGCTTTGTGCCTTTCCTGGAACTCACTCTGTAGCCCAGGCTGGCCTTGAACTCACAGAGATCCACCTGCCTCTGCCTCCCGAGGGCTGGGATTAAAGGCGTGTGCCACCACCGCCCGGCAACTGCTTCCCTTTCTTAGTTGTGAGCTTGCTCTCAGGTTTTGACATAAACAGACACCTGAGAACAGCTGTTCCGTGTACTGCCATAGCCGTCAGGGTCATTGCGTAGATGCCGAGAGTCCGCAACCCCAAAAAGGTTGAACAGATGCGGCAGGCTGGTCATTGTACAGTAGCACCCTTAACACCGTTTCCTTCTTCTGCAGATTGCACTCTAATGTTCTGGCCGACACTTCTTCGATCCTCTTATACCTTTTCCTTAGAAATATCTTTGTGATGAGCGACATTAAAATTAAAGAAGAAAATCTCTTCTGTGATAATATTAAAGGCAATGAGATATTCCCTGCCCAACAAGTGAGTAAATGTCCGGAGCTATGTGGGTTCCACTGTGTTTGCCTCAAGAACGGATGCCTTTGGGATCTTGTGTCCTTGTAGTGGACGGACCAAGAGGACGCAGCCTGAATATGTTGTATTATTTCATATTCCATGCAGGTCTCACAGCCATCAGGTCATGTGTCCTTCTTCTCAATTTATCTTTTCTCCTCTGTGTACAAGACCGGGATATATTTCAGAATTCAAATCTGTACAACGTGGACAGTGAAACACTTGTAGTCCCACTACCGCTAAGAACACTATGGCTTCATTTTTTATATGATTTCTCTGCTTTTGAAAAGGTTCAGGGATTAACATATTATTATTTACAAAATGAGATCTCAGGCAATTTATTGTTCAGCCACCTGCTTTCTTAAAAATGCCTTTTTTTTCCCTTAGAGATGCTTTTATGCTGGTATATATTAGCTTGCTATGCTCTTTTGAATTATAAAATTGCATGCTTACACAGAGGCAGAGGCTTAATAGCCCTCCTAGTGATGGACTCTCAGGGTATCTGTACCAGGCTCTGTGTAGTCCGCAACCCCATAGTGCTCTGACTTTGATAGTGATCTTCTATTAGCCCTTCCTTCCAGTCTGTGCCTCTCTCTTTGTTCCGTCTTTCCTCACCAGATATGGAAGCTTCAGGCATCTACTTCCTTTCCTCTTCTGTTTTTTGTAGTAGTTGTTTTTTATATACTGTTTTGATTTGCTCAGACTGGTAGTTTGTTCCATGAGGCCCATGCCAGCGACAGGAGCCCTTCCTCCAGCCCAATTCACTGTTCTTGGAGCTCAGGGTCTCAAAACCACCTGCCTGCACTGAATATCCTCTGCACTGTATTCCGTTTCTTCTCTTGCCACACCACGTCTGGAAAGGAAGCCATTTAAAAACCGCTTCTGTGAATTTCAGCACCAGAAACCACCAGTCCAGTAGAAGCTGCTTGTGTAGAAATTTCTGGTCAGTGTTTGTACAGTTTCTCTTGTGAATAGTTTGGATATAAATATAAATAATGTGGATATAAAAAACCCCAACATTTTCTTTCCCCAGAAGGAAAGTGAAAGGAGAGGCGAGGACTTCTACCCTTTTACAAGGACTTCTGTTCTTTTACAGGCATATTTAACATCACAACTCTTAACTTGGCATTCTTCACCATTTCTATTTTGTTGGTGAAAATATAAATAGAAGTATTAGTCTGGCTTTCTGAAAATGTTCCATTTTCTCACAAATTAAGAAGTGAAATTAGACTCTGTTAATCAAGTGAGAGCAATATTATTGGTATATTACATTTTAATTATTATTCATCACAATTTGTGGTTTTAAAAACTAGGTTTTTTTTTCTGCAATTAAAATACAGCTAAGATTTTTTTCTCCCCAATAAAATAGATGGGCACATTTTCTGTCATTAGTGACTCTTGTATTATCTTACAAAACACTCTGGGGGTTAATTCCAAGATTATCCTATGCACATGGAGCATTAAGGGAGAGGCAGAGCCTCCCCAGGTTAGACTTTCTTCATGCTGTCATTCGTGTTGTTGAGCCAGAAAGCCCACATTCCTTGTCCTCTTTGCATCTGAAAGACATCTGGAGTGGCATGCCTGATATTGGCCAGATAACACCCATTCTTGTGTCCGCACAGCTGGCCAGACTGATGGAATGTGAGAACGTGCTTGTGGCGCTAGAGCTCAGCAACTTCCTCAACGATGCCAATTACGCCCTTCAAGCAGTGACCCAGTGCTACGGGCTCCTGGCTCCCATCATCTATCACAACATTGTTTTAGTACCTGTCATACAGGTAAGGGTGTCCCGTAGCCTCCACAGGAGGTGTGTGTACAATGAAAGGTCAGTGATTATTATGGGAAAGATGAGCCATATGACTCCATAAAGTGCAAATGGGTCAAGAAGAAGCATTGTGAAAAGGTCCCGATGAGATATATATCAGAAAGGAACCAAATGTGTTTCTTTGAAAGCATACATTTTGTGCTTTAGTTAAACACTAGCGATGGTCATGTTCCAGTTTTTATATTCTTGTCATTGTAGATACAGCAGTATATCTTTATCACCCATCACTAAAGTCATCGCAAGAGTGCCATAGTGAATAACCCAAGAAAGCTTGCTTTGTGGCAGAGTTGATTTTCTCATTCAAAGGGAGGAGAATAAATGATGGTGAAACGCTTAGTTATTCATCTGAAAGAAAAGTGGAATCTGACTTCTATTTGTACTTTGTAAAACTGCCCACATCTGTTAAAGGATTACAAGTAAAATAAAGCAAAACTTTAGGGGCAAAAAATTAAAAATTAACCAGGAGCTGACATCTGTAGTCCAGGGTTTTGGGGGAAATCTTCCCAATTAAGAGAACTTCTAAAGCCCAGCAGTAGTAGCACACATCTTTAGTCCCAGCACTAGGGAGGAGAGGCAGGTGGATCTCTGAGTTTGAGGCTAGCCTGGTCTACAGAGAGAGAGTTCTAGGACAACCAGCACTATACAGAGAAACCCGTCTCTGGGAAAAAACATAGAACTTTTAGAAACGATAAACTGTATGAGACAAAAGAACCAGGACGAAGATCATAAGAAAGTTGTGGGATTGGAAAAAAGATAAACTCAGAGTTAATGGGGAATGAATTAGGTATAACAAGAATCCTTGCAAGTTGGCCATCACCTGATAGGTAGATGGATACAGGACCTGAATAGGTAGTTCATAGAAAACCAAGTCCACCTCATGGTAAGATGCTTGGGCACAAAATATTTCTAGAACCATGCGTTGGATTAATGATGTAGAATCTGTAACTCCCATTGCTGGTGGGAACATGTGATAGCAATGGCATTCTGACTCACTGACAGGGTAATGTGAATTGTTAGGAGCTTTTGGGTTTTGAAAAAGAAACTTAATGAAATTAAATCTAACTTTAAGCAAAATTAAAACCAAATAAATCAGATATAGTAAATTCCTCTACTGGTAATTTATTTCATAGAACAAAAATTTAATCAAATTAAAAATACATTTATCTGACAGAGCAACCACCCTGAATGTGTTACACAGAATAAAATCCTTACTTGGCGGAGTGCTGGGGCTCCCCGCACCCCTTGTGTCTCAGGTCCATGTATTTTCCCTCCTGGGGATTTGGTACCACATAATGGTCATTGACTTAGAGTGTGGACTGTGGCCTCAAGGTTGATGCTTTATCCTCCTCAAGGCTCCCAAAGCTGTTGCTCGTGTGCGCACCTTAGCAAGTAGAAGGGCGTTTTCTGCAGTGTTTGGTAAAGGCAAGATAAATGATGGAAAGCAGCAGTAGTGCCTGAACCCAAACATTAGCCATGGACTGTTCAATGTGAGAACAATAGATTATGGTTGGTCCATGCCAGATGATCATACATAGCCATTAGCAACACAAACTAGGGCTGTCCCTGCCGATGTGGAAGCACTGTTCGTGAGGCATAGTTGAAGGAGAAAGATAAAAGTTCAGACCAGTATCTAAAAGTGCCATTTTGTGAAATAACAACAAAAGTCTCCCTTGGTACATTGCATTTGTGCACACACATATGCACACACACACACACACACACACACACACACACATGTAGGAGCTTTGAGAAATGACTAGGGTAGTTAGCATGATTTGGGGATGTGATGGGCAGTGGGGACAGAGGGTAAATTAACATGGGGAAGAAAACATTAAGCATCCTCACCAGTGTATCAGGATAATGACATATTGTTAAAATGGTGACTTGAAGCAAGTCAAAAGCATGAACACACACACACATACACACTTGTTCTTTGGGATCATCAAAATCAATGGCTTGCTGTAGTCTTAACTCTGCTTCTCTGACGATCGCATTGTTCCAACTAGCAGAACTGAGAAGCCCAATCTAATAGTTGGTTCTTGATCGAATTCAGGAACACACAATGTGAAGAAGTAAATCCCGGTATTAATTGATTTTCAGTGGTGTGAACACTCAGTTTTAATCTGAGAGGGACTATCATTTCAAGTGCCTCTACCCCTCAGTACTGTCACAAGTGGCCTGACCCCCTCTGCACTTTGCCAAGGTCCCCCTAAGCACAGCTGTGACCCCTAAACACAGCTGTGTTTTGCATCCCTATAGCATTTGGCCTCTTTTATGGTACTTGTGAAAATAAGCATTGTTTTATAGTTATCGTATATTTATTTTGAACTCTTCACTCATTTTCAAGTTTATGTAGATAGTTGACTCATCTGAAAATGGAATATGTCCATTGTATCTATGTTTATTCTTTTATACCTGGTGAATAATGACCAATTGAAGTGGCATTTTCATAGCCTAAGATGGATATGATTTATATACTACATTTTATACAAAACAAGATGGTATTTTGACACAAAAACCATTGTGCTTCTGTTTTTCTAGATCTTGATAAAATGTATTGTGGTTTTGCAAGGAATACCAAGTATTGTTCACTCAAAGAAAAACATTGCAAGCTTTGAGAGTATCCAACACATGATAGCTTGCTGTATCTTCTACATGACCAAGGTATTTATCTCATTGTCTGTCTTAGCATTGGTGCCGGGTGAGACAGTCAAGCTTTGTTTAATGGTGGCAATTGGAATGCAGAAGAATAGCATCCCCAGGGCCAGGGAGAAGACTCAGGAATGATGAGTTCATGATGCTCTCAATGAGGACCTGAGTTTTTTCTTAACACCCTTGCCAGGCAGCTCACAGCTGCCCTAACTCTGCTTTCCAGGATCCAATGCCCTCTTCTGGTTTCAGAGGCCACCTGCACTAACTTGTTATTAAAAAACAAAAAACAAAAACTTAAAAAAATTAGCATCCCCAAAGCAATGTTTCCTAGATGAAAAGCAAATGTAAAGCCTACACATGACAGGATGGTAACTGCTGTCAGGCTTTGTGATAAAACTGTGGTCCCCCGCAAACTCAACCTTGATGTCACCGAAGTACCATTTGGACATTGTCTGGCATTATATACAGTCACACAGAACACATGTTCCAAACCCCTAGACTACTGACACGTTTAGTATGCTGTGCACGGTCTGTACATCACCTTGTCAGGCCCTGGTCATGATGGACGGAGCCCAAAGGCAGGCCTCAACTATCAAGGCCAGGGTCTGGGCTAGGATAATGGAACTTAGCTCCACAGGGACAAACAATAGCTGGGTGTGGTGATGATGCCTTAATCCCAGCACTTGGGAGGCAGAGGAGGGTGGATCTCTGTGAGTTCTACACAGTGACTTCCAAGGCAACCAGAGCGACGTAGTGAGACCTTGTCTCAAGAAAACCAAAACCCCAAACCCCCCAAACCAAAAACCACAACCACAACTCAGAGACCAGCATCAAGATTACAATTAAAGGATTAATCAGTGAATGCGGGGTATAATGATGCTTTTATGAAATTAGGATGTAAAAGAGTGAGGGCAGCCGTGAAGGAAAGGACAGGCTAGGTATACTCTTGGGGTATGAGACAGGTGTGCCAGCCCCTGAGGCCAAGTGTAAAGGCAAATCCAGACCGTGGGTTGGGCGTGGTGCATCTGGAGATGGGAGCTGAGGATGGACACAGGCGAAGTATAGGAAGAAGACAAACTGCTTTCTCAGGTTTCAGTCTGCTCCTTCCTTCAACAGTTGTTCACTGATTATTTACAGTCAGGTTCTGTTTTGGGAATTTGGTGTATGCCCAAAGAATTAGCGCTTCGTGGGTGATAGCAGCTCTGTAGCGTGGTTAATGAACAGTAGGTGGTGACACTCCCAGAGCTGTGGAGAGACTGGGGAAGGCTCCGATGAGATCTGGATATCCTTTAAGCAAGGGGTACAAACTCCTCGAGTGATCACTGAGAGCACACAGGTAAAATAATGTGTGATTTGGTTGGCTAGGAGGCCAGATTGTTGGGTCCCGGGACAAACTTACCTGTGACATTCCTTAAAGAATGAAGTAATTAAGATAACAGCCCAGTTCTGTCTCATGAGCTTATGCTTTAGTGGGGAGGAGACAGGGCACACGCGTGTGCCTGTGCACACACACGAGTAATTCTGTGAAGCTTTGAATGATGCAAGTGAAAAGAAACTCAGTTAAGGGAGAGGCATTTATGGGCTGGGCTTTCCTTAGAGGGGAAGGCCCCGACAGCAGACAGAACATGTGCACTTGGAGGCCCATGGCCAGTCTCACCTCACAACCCAGTAGGCATGAAGGAAAAGTAAAGATGAGATTTATTTTTTTTTAAGTACAAAGTAGAAATGGAGGATGATTCTTTGTGTAATTCACCCTTCACTATGTTGGAAAAGGCCAGAGGTGAGTTGGGACCACGAAGGCAAAGAAACCTTTAAAGGGAGAGAAATCAGATGATATAAAACCAATCAATCAACCAACCAACTCAATAATGATACAAGACACCTGGCTTCGGTGACAAACAGATTTGATAAAGGTCATGGAAGCAATAGACTGTGAGTTAAATACCCTGGTGTAGAATTGCTCAGAGATGGTGAACCCATTCAGACGGCAGATCCAGAGCCATAACCTGAAAAGACCAGGAGTCTAGGTTCGAGAAAGAAATAGATGGATCAGTAATAGGCTCCCCGAGTCCCAAGCAGGATTAAAGTGGGAACACTCCTGTAGAGAGGTGTTGGTGACATGTTTGAAGTCGATGGTTAAGGACAAGCCTTCCAGGCTTGAGTACTGAAGAACAGATTCCTGGACATGCAAGGAGAATCAACTGGCTCCCAGCTTAGCAGCGCTAGAAGTTAAAACACTGAAACATTGTTTGAAGGATAAGGCCTGAGGTCCCAGAACTCAGAACCAGGAAAGATATCAGCCATTTATTTAGGCAAAAATAAACACTTTCAAAGTACAGAGCATTGTGCCCGTGCCCTTATCTGAGGAAAACACTTGAGGAAACCCTTTATCAAATGACAATTGATTCCAAGCGGAAGTCCCAAGATAGGGGGAGGCAAGAAGGGAGGAATGATAGGAACAATGAATCTCTCACTATATGTATTATTAAAAGTAAATAGATGATAAGGGTGTGAGTTGGTAATGTAAATGCCAAGTAGGCTTTCTTGAAAGACAAGAGTCATCCTTGAAAGACAAACCTATTAGTAACCCAGAACTAAGCCTTCTATTATATCCGAGGGTGAGGGGAGAACATTAAGGGTCAGTTTTTGGTTGTACAAAATTATGATTGTTACACCAAACGTGTGTAGCTTAAGGCTACTGTTTTCTTTGACAGGACACACACGCATATTTAAAGATGATTTGGTGATGTGTCACTGTGAGTGGAACTTTACTGTA